AATCATGTGCGACTTCAGCTTTTTTGTTCTGGGAAAATAGCTAAATATGAGCTGTGAAGAAATGTGCCCTAAATAAACCGTTTGCACTGAGAAGATTCTGTAAAAGAGGAAATAATCAAAACAAACCTTCAGTGACTTTTGGCTGAACTGTTTATAAGGTAGTCATCTATCTATAGCATGTAGAGACACCATTTTTATCCAGCTTTGGTAAAGATGTTGCATACAAAGTTTTTAAATTTTTTCTAAATGATAATTAACTTTACCTTTTTTCTCTTTTTATGATTTATGCCATTTAACTGTCATGCTGCAGAAAACACATGTCTGAGTTCTCTCTGCTTCTAGCCGTGGTCGTGCTGTTTCCACAGAGGTGCAGGACTTTAGGTTGCAGTGAAAAATGAGCCCACAGTGACGGAAAAATGTTACAAAAGATTTTTTGGGAAAAATAGTTTGATCCTTTAGATTTAAAGTCCCTCTCCAGTGATTAATTTAATCTTAAAGCTCGTCTCTGTGCATCAAAATCGCATATTAAGAAGATTTTGTTCATGAAAATGATCTAATCTTGCCTTTAAATTTCTTAGATGTAACTCCACACCTCCTCTAGAAAGTGTTCATATGAGAAGTTCCACCTCTTTCTGTACTTATGACATCTTGCTGCAGCTCAAACACACCAGCTCACCTAACACTGTAAAGCTAATCTACCCGACAGAATGGCAACTTGTAGTGTCTCAGGTATTCAGTGTTTGTCTTGCATGTTTCACTTTTATGCACGATATTTTTAAAGGTTTACTACAGATTGAGATTTACTGCTTCTCAAATAACTGCGCTGCCCTAATTAATTCCTTCCCTTGAAGAAAGGAAAGAAGAGGTGCTGACATGAGAGAGTGCGTAGAGAGGAGATGAACAGATATGACGTAGAGAGAGGTTGCAGAATTGACGAAGAGGCAATTGAGGCACAAAGGAGACGGTGGGATAGATGAATTTGCAAGTGGAAAAGATGTGGAAACTGAGGATCGCAGAGGGGGGAAAACGGAGGAGAGTGGTGAGAGAAGAGAGGGGAAGCTGGTGGAGGTTCCTGCCTGTTTGGGTGGCCCTGAGTCGGGTGTAGGACCCAGGTGTTCCTCCTCCTCTATCCGTGCATCACTCCATTCCTCTTTCTTCCCCTCTCACTGCCTCCCCTGGTGGCCTTCACCATTTAATCTGGATTAATGAGGAGGCTGACCTTCACCACTCTTTCTCTCTCAAGCTCTCCTGCCTCCTCTTCGCAGAGCTTTCCAGGGAGGAATATACAGTTTTTAGCCAGACTCCACATCTGCTTCTGTCTCCCCACATCTTCATTTCAGATGAAATCTCCTTCTCTGTGTTCTTTTTCTGCCTCTCTGATTCCTCTTATTTCTTCATCTTTTTTTTTGCTTCCTCCACCTATTTTCCTCCTTATCTCCAGTCGGGCTCGTGTCTGTGTGGGTGCAGCTCCCGTCCTTCCTGCTCTGCTGCTGACTGACAAGGCAGCGCTGTTCATTGTTGGGACCACCTGTGTATCCTGTCCTGCTGCCGCTCTGTTTGGGTGGTCAGGCCTCCCAGCCCACAGAAAACACACTATACTGGGATGTGGGACACACACACATATAGAAATTCACGTCACCACGGTCCGTGAATATCCTCAAGGGAAGCCCGCTAAGGCGCACACACACTCACAACCGGGCTGCGCGCTGCCTAATCTGTGGTGAGTGACTCATTCTAATTGGCCAGTCAACAGGTGCTGAGCTCCACTCGAGGGACTGGACAGAGGAGACGCAGGGATATGATTACAGAACAAGGGAGAGGCTAAGCTCAAGGCTTCTGTATAATAACTACAGTGGGAGCCATTGTTGAAGGGTGGGAAGTGAATGTCGAAATCTGTTTTGCCGCTCTTTGTTGCTGATTGATATACCATCGACTTGAACTATAGCCAGCCGGGTGCTGTTTAGGCTGACCTGGTGTTTGACTGCATCAGAAGTTGTGTTTGATATGCGCTAGGAAGGTCACAATATCAGACTTTCACTGCACAATTTTTGTAGCCTAAAGGAAATTGGGTTGACAATATGATCGAGATATTTATAGGAAAGTAAAACCAGTGAAATTTAACTTGAGCTTCAAGTTCTAAATGTCATTTAATTGACATTTGTGTCAGTGAAATGTCTGAATATTTCCATATCTTCCTCTGTGTATGCATGAAAGCACAAACCTTGCTGTCTGTGTGTACATCATGGCTGTCGTGAAATCAGATTACATGAGTATTGTTGCCAAAGAAAGTCACGATTTATAGAATTTTTAAAAAATTATATCATTCCAGTCGAGCATCACAGCTATACTGACTGCTGTTCACGTGTCATCCAGACAGTTACTGGAGGTGGATTTATTTATTTATTATCATATTTGTATCACGAACATGACATCATTATTCCAATTGTTAGATAACTGTTATCATTGTTATTATCATTATTATTATCATTATCATTATCATATCACATAATCACTGTTATCATTAATACCAGTTTGTCACAACACCTCTGATATGCACTTAAACTACCAAGTTATTGTCACTTTCTGCAGTAACTGATTTCCTCCCTGTTAACTATACAAGAAGCTCATTTTCCATAATTGTTAGAAGGGATTAAGGATACCTTTGATGTCCCAGCTAGCATCATCCCATAGGACATTATTGTCCGATGTCCACATGTGCACAAGTCGTCAGTCGTTTTATGATACGTACCAGCCTTGTGTTTGAAATATTTCAAATTAAATTTGACACTAAATAGCCTCGACAAGGTTAAATAGATTGATTTCCACGACTGACCAGACAAGTGATTTTTAAATTTGAAACACTTGTGCAGTCAGTTTGTATAATAAAATGTCAAATTAGAAACCAGTGAAGGAAGTTTCACATCCTTTACGAAAGCAGAAGTACTGTCACCACACTGTGAACTTTAGAAATGTTACTTCAGCAAAACTATGCAAGTGTTATCATTAAAATGAACTTACAAAATAAAGTACTTAATGCAAAAAAATGTCCCCGTGACAGTTATACTTTTTAAAATTATATAATTAGATTGTTATACTCGTGCATTCATGTAAAAGCAGGATTTTGTTGTTGAAGGTTGCTTGAGATGGACTTATTTATCGCAAAACATCATAATACAGAAGGTCGTCATTCGCTTTGTGTGCAAACATCTTAATTTCTAATGTAACTAAAGCTGACGAGAGAGATAAAAACAGTATAATATACTTTATATAGTGCAGTAGAAGTAAGTGTCCTTCATTACATTCCACCACGACATAGAACATGTGATCAGAAAGCAGCAGATTGTATCCCCACTACACATTAAGTTTAAATTACCTTTTGAACACATAGCCAGGGACAAAATTAGCATTAAAGGTTGATCATTGAGCATTGGTCCTAACAAATACTAATGAAATCAATCAATTAAAGGTGGATTTTACAGTCACCAGGTGGCTACAGTGCATGTAAACATCTGATTTCCCACAGTTACCTGGTTTCATGTGTTTAAATTAGGGGTTAGCGATGATCAGCCTTGACAGTTATTAGAACCAGTAATCAGTGATATTCTGATTATTGATATCTTAAGGGTTTTTTATAGCCAATTCCTAATAAAATAACTTAATTTTAAAAGGTTCTACTTTGGCTTAAATGTCGCCTCTACTTCTTCTGTAGTCACCACTCGAGCAATGTCCCGCCCACAGCACCATCTGATTGGTTAAACATCACGATAGCCAATCAACACTGAAGGATAGATGCTGAAAAGCTCTCTTTTAATGAAGCATATGTAGCATAATGTAAAAATAACAAGATTGTCATTTATTTACGTAAATGTATGTCAATTTCAAATATTGCCACTGAAAAAAAACACATAAAAAACATGTTCAAGCACATAGAACCAGGAAATTGTAGCATGCAGCTTGTATCATTATGTGAAGATTTTTGCTGCTGGAATACCTGTCTGAGGTTTTAAATCCATACCTGGAGGTAAAACGTGTGCTGTGTGGTAGTTCTGCCTTCAAACTGGACCTCCTGGTCCACACCAGTATTCCTGCATCTCACACCTGCAGCAGCTCGCCCACACTACCAGACCAACAGACCCCTGAGACGTGTGCAGCGGGCTCTTTAACATGCTGCTATATGTGGTCAGAAACAGGTAAAGTAGTTTGCAGTAAAGTTTGTTTGGACTGAACAGAGAAAGTTTGTTGTCTTAGCTCGAGCAGCGACGCTTGAATGCCAGAAGTTCTCCTGTACGATGTTGACAGAGCTCCTGCAGCTCACCACTTTTAAAAATAGGAGAGTTTCCTTTACAGCTAGGCCGATGAAGACCTGACTTTTAGATTTGTTTACTCGCTCTAGCTAGACTTGTGTGTCACTCAGCACTGGAAACAGCACATAAGATGGAAAACATTTGGGCCTGAATGAAAGGTGAGCAGCCCTCCCTTTTCTTTTCTCCTCTGTCTCTGTTTCTCTCTCCCCCCCTCCGTCTCACTTTCTCCCCCTCTCGGGTCTCTCTGCCTCTCTCTCCTCCGTCTCCCCGAGGCCCGCGTGTCGCCTTACCCAGGGGTTTAGCCCCTAATCACCCTCAGCTAGTGGGAGGGAACCGGAGACTTCCAGCTGGCTGCCTCGTTATTGCAGACTCCTGGGACACACATTCCTCCACACACGAGCTAAACACACACACCACCTCATATATGCTTACCAAGGCATTTGCTGTTATCTCTTGGCATCTCTCCATCCACGTCCCCCCCCCTCACCTCCCACACAACTCGATCCTGCCAAGGCCACAGCCTCACCACGTAAACTGAATAACAGAAGGAGGCTTACCACAAGGGAGGGCCAAATCTCTGGCACGTCCTCTACTCCAGACCAGTTTAAACCAGTATTAAATGTTGTCATCATCCATACACTCAGGCGTACATCTATATGTGACAGCTTGCTAATGTCAGCCATCTTTCTCTTTCAGGAGGGATCCGTATGATTACCCCACGCACTCCAGGCCTGTGCCCAGAGATCCAGCCACTTACCCCAGCAGCTACCACGACCCTTCCAGTCACCCTGGCCGGGTGCCACTCCCTCACTCCCAGCAGGCGCCCACCAATCCACGCTACTACCCCTCGTCTCCCCACGCAGGACAGCAGCACCGCGCCGCACTGAGGCAGGACGTCCCGCCTTCGCCCGGAGTCGGCCGGAAAGGGCGGCAACGCCACGAGGCCGCCAGAACGCACGGAGACGGCTACCGGCAGCCCAGCCCCGGCCGCTACGCCAGCCCAGACCGGTTCCCCAGGGCCCGCTACACCAGCCCCGACCGCTACCACTACGAAGACGGAAGGCAGCCCGACCCACGACGAAAAAGCCCCGCCATAGGTGCTGTGTGAAAGGTCGCCCACTCATGTGACCTCTCAGTGCTCCAAAGTCAGGTGTTTGTAGATTTGAGAAATCGGCCGGACTACCAAAGTGCACAAGTGAGACAAATTAATTTATATAACAAGGAAAGCAATAAATGACAAACTGAGAGGCTTGAACAGGGAATATTTTCAGATGGGAAGGACTCGTTTGTGTATATACATGTGTTGGAGCTGCCTGTGTGTGTGTTATGGTGTATAACATGATGCAGATTGTTTTGTTAAGAAAGCACAGTTGAGTTAATTACAGAGATAAATAGCGTATATATATATAAATAGTGCCAAATGTTGTATAAAATCAAAACTATAAGCAGTGAAGGCAGTGCTGACTTGCATTTTGCACAAACTGAAGGAAATAACGAGGGATCACCTTGAGCAGCAGACTGCCGTAACACAACAGAAGCAGGAAGGTAAAGTGGACAAACAGGAGAAGGAAGAAAACTCCCCTTCAAAGTGTCTTCTCGCCCTTGATGTTTTGTCGCTTGGACTTCCTCTACATCCTGCTATCACACTGGGATTTATGTTTTTTGTATTTTTTTTTTTTGCCTCTGATTACTCGGACGTGGCTAATATATTCACTGTACAAGCGTGTAATTGCAAATGAGTTTATTAGTGATATTGTCGTGTTTCTAATAAAGTGTATAAATCCTGATCCACACACAAGCTATAAACCTGTGACTCCTGTGTGCAGCTAATAGAGCTGAATTAAATGTTTTATCCTTTAACATATCATTGCTAAAAAGTCACTGCACTGAAACTAAATGTGTCGATGGTGGTTTGATTGAAAAATGCATGATTTTTATACAGATATTTTGCATTAAACACTTTGAGATTCCCATGCCGTGCCACGTCACTTCATTTCATCCTAATTCTCGCGTCGCTCGGCCAGAATATTTGAAATACGCAGTCAAACTACGACAACGCCATGAGTCATCACTTTAAAAATTCATTACAGTATTAATCTTAATTTCTCTGAGCACAATCTCTAGATAAATTTGCCCTGTGAGATGACTGATAAGAGTAGCCAGCATTCTGATAATGACTAAATCATCTTCAACAATTAGAGGCAGGGAAATCTCCACTAGAAAATGATTACTGCCCAATTTGCTCTCAGAAATAAAGATGGCACTGATTGGTGAAATTAGACTTGAAATGGGGAATAATTAGAGTGTGGAGAAGGCTTTTTTCTATCAGTTAATGTTTAATTAGCGTCAAGGCCAACAGGGACCGGGCCTCTGCTGATCCGTCTAGTCTCTGCGTTGCGTTGACCCTCGACTGTCTGAGCAGAAACAGACCTTTTAAACCAGGTAGATAAATGTTGATCAGTCGTTTTGTTTAAACCAATTTCGAACATATGAACTCTTTCCCGAGGCCGATGATCCCAACCCGCTTTAGAGGAGCTATTCAACCAGGAAAAAACAAGTTATTACATATTTCTATTCATATAACACTTGTCAAAACAACAATACAATGCTTCCCACAAGCCAGAGCAGATAAAAGCTACACAAACAAGACGGGGAAAGAGCAGCCGTCTGCTGACCATCCTGTGATGACAAAACCGGCAGAAACAGTCCAAAATTACATGCTAATACCTTGAGCTAAATCGAGCACATGGAAGGACACAAATCCAGCGTCAGATCTGATTAGACATGTAAGTAAATAAGAGTAAGAGCTGCAGTTCCAGGTATTTAACCCCGAAGACTGACGGGTTTCATTCAGACTGAAAACCCCACAAAGGATGTCTGTATGTTTTAGTTGATTAGCAGTCACATGTCTTTAGCGTTATGAACGGCATGCCGTGGTATTACCATGCTGATGGCATGGTAATGGAATTATACCATAGTAATGCAGGCATGGAACATTGTAAAAAGCTCCCTTTGGTGCGCTGATTAAACACATTCCAGCATCTAAATTTGTCAGCTGATGAGAACGCTTCAGTTACGGTTTGTCAATATATTATAAAATCCACAAGACAAACAGTGAGACTCAGCTCCCCTTCTTTAAACCAGTCCCTCTAAAAAATCTTCCAATAAGGCTTCTGAAGTCAAGAGTAGTAACGTTGATTAAAAATAAATGCGGCTGTTTTGAGGTTCTCTGCATGTTGTTGCATCAATCCATAGAGTTAATATCTCACCAATGCAAAGCTGTTAAAATATAACATCTCAGAATGATGTCGAAAAACCAGCCAATGTGTTTATTTCTAGGCTGGATTACTGTACTTCCTTATTATTCTGAAGTCCCAGTACCCTTCCAGTTGATCCATAATGCTGCAGCAGTGTGAATGTATTTTCACATTCTTCATCGGCTCCCTGTAAAATCAAAAATATTTCTAAAAACCTTCTCCTCACATTAAAAGAATCCTCAATGACCAGCCTCCGTCATATCTTTAAAAGCCCATAGCATAACATCATCCCAGTGGAGCACTTGATTCTCTAACTTACTTCCAAAAGTTTCCAAGAGCCATCAGCGATCCGGTTTCTCTCCTGTGGAATCAGATCCCAGTTTGGGTTCAGGAAGCAGACACTCTTTCTACTTTTCAGATCGGGCTTTAAACTTTCCTTTTCGGTAAAGCTTGTAGTTAGAGCTGCTCAGGTGACCATGAACCCTCCCTTCAGTATGCTGCTACAGGCCTGGGCTGCTGGGGGACTTCCCATGATACCTCTCTCCTCTCTTTCACTCTCCATGCATTTACATGCCACCAGTACATGTCGAGAACTTTTTGTCTTCTCTGGTTCTTTTTTAATCTGCTTTCTCTCTTCCTGTAACTTTCTGTAGGAATCTTTATCTCTTGAGCTTTCTGGTCTGCATTTTCTAGTCTAATCAAGCTGCCCAGTGTTGACTACTTATTGATTATATTGCTGATTCTCTCTCCCGTTCACCCTCACCCTGACCGGTCGAGGCAGATGGCGGCCCTACCTGAGCCTGGATCTACTGGACTCGACTTTTTCCATGCAACTGTCAAGTAAATTTGAAAGTGAGGTTTTTAGATGTTCCAAAAAAATGTGAGAAAAGAGGAAAGAATATACTTGGGTGAGTAATGTCGTTGAAAGGGGGCAGTATAAGCTGAAGGAGAAACGAATGCAACCAGTTTTTTTTGCAGCTGCTAAAAAGACACAAAGAAGAAGCAAACCAAACGTTGGCCATCGACAAGAGAACAACGGAGAGAAGCCTTCAGGAATTGTTTTAAATCAGGCAAGTTGCAATGATTCTTCCATGTTAGCTGGTGTTGGATACATTTCTTGCTGTCTGCAGACGGAAAAATGAAAGAAGTGGAAACAGCTGATCAACCATGTGAGTGAAATGTTTGTCCGAACTGCAAAATGGTGTTTCCATTCTCACTGAGGGCGTTAGAAGATGTCAAAAACCACCTCAAGAGAGTGCAAAACCAACTTTTTCAAATGCAATACTTCAAAATGTGCATAAAAATACATTATAGAAACACGGCTGCCTTTGCCAAGTGGCTACTTAAAGGGAATCATTGGGCTTCTTTCATTATTTTTGAAGCCCACGTCGTGTGTTGTGCCCTGAGATGACTCCTGCAGTGTTTTGCGGCTACTACATAAATAAATTGAATTGAATTATTTCGATAAATCAAAGCCAAAACCTTCAGTTCCTCAGTGAGCGGCGTGCCAACGTCTCCTGCAGATCAGTGAAGGGCCACGTCTTCCCTCATTCACACTGAGGGCAGCACAGCTTCCAGCACTTAAGCCGGCTTCACTGGCTATTCACTGTACTTAAAAGAATAAGTACGCAGTAAACATCCTCTTCCAAGTGCTTGTGGTCAGTTTGCTGCCAAAGATAATAAACAACAGCAACTGAATATCCAGGAATTAATTGCATTTTACATCCATTAAACAAAAGCTTTGAAATCACTGTCAGGAGTACTTGGCGGTAACACCCATCTCACTGAAATGACCCTTCCATCCGCAGTTTGTGTGATCGGTTACAGCCCTTGTGTGAGCGTCTCCTCTTTTGTTCATGGTCATCCAGAAAGAATTCCTCCACATGACACTCAGCCTCGGCATGGCCGCTGGTCACGGCAGTTGATTCGCTGACAGACATATCTTCATGCCTCATATCGGCTTAAACGCCCGCCACGTGAAGAAGTTTCCCCACTGCATGACCTTTGATTTCAAGACCTTCCTTTAAAAGCCATTTATCTATTCTCCACATGCTTTTTATTGAAGTTCCTCGACCGTGCCGCCCACTTTTTTTCTTTTTTTTTTGGGAAATCCACTTACATTCTATCCTGTTTTATGAGATGCGAGAATTAATTTGACACCTCATAAGCCCACATTTTTGTTGCAGTTCTGGAAAACTCTTTTTAAAAAAAAGAAAAGCAGAAGCACACGCTGTTCCCCAGTCGATTGTCATGAACCTGCGGGTTGTGGGAGAATTCCCTGGTTATGTTCTCTTAGCATTACCTATTCTGCCGGCGCCCCTGTTGAACACCTTAGCTTGTTAGCATGTGTCAATCAAAAGCCGTGCTCTGGGGAGGGCAAAGTGGAGAGCTGAAGCGGTTATCTCACTCCCGCACAGCTCCCAAAAAAGACAGAGCGGGAGTAGGAGGGGAGGAGAAAGATGGGAGTGAAGGGAAGAGGGGGGGAGGTTGTACAGTAGATAGAGTGTAAGGACTGTACACCCTTTGCAGAATGAAGGTACGGGTGAGCGCCCACGGTGACCTCGGCCTGCTCTCGCTTCCCCCCCTTTCATCCTCTTCATTAAAGGCACATTCCACCGTATTAGCCCCGCTGTCCTTCTGTCCTTCACCTGCTGCCATTCATTTCAATTCAGCCCTCGTTAAGGCATCAGGAACCGAGTGTAGTCGGAGCGGGCCGAGCGCAGCTTCTCATTTAATTATACAGTTCATTAGAAAGCCGCAACCCCCCCCCACCAGCTCCCTCCTTCCCTCCGCAGGTCTGAGACAGGCCATGGGAATAGCTGGTGGCTAATGTGCAGTTTAAACGGCCTGAATATGGAGATTGGTGGAGTTATGGATTACCGTTACCCGTTAGCCTGCCCTTCACCCACCTCATTCGCTTTTATGTCTGCTGTGTAGCCTTTTGATACAGTATCACTCAAGTTGGAGTGTGCTCTTTCAGCCAGCATGTTTGTTTGATATTGTTCATGAACTGTGAAATTGAATTTCCACAGTTGGGCTGATATTGGAAATAATTTCATATCCTGTGCAATATTCTTGCTTGGTTTCACCTTGTGCTGTGTTTAAGACATCCATTTTTACTTAATGTCTCTTTTTTTTTTTCTCCTCCTTCCCAAAAAAGTCGATACAGCAACGCGGTTAATTTAGACCATATTTACCCTAAAAGCAATGTTGGCTCGCTGGCTGCCTCTCTGTTCGCCCACACACCACAGCCAAGCCACCAACCACCATCTTTTACACCAACTGTCGCCATGGCAACGGGGCCGCCGCTCCTGGCAGAGCCCCCTTTCAGAGCTGATGACATCGTCGTGGCAACAATGAAAGGTTCATACATCCCATTATGAAGAAAAGCAGAGTTTTTTCTCTCTCTCTCTCTTTCTTTTTTTTTTTTTTGGGCAGGGTCACTGAGCCCCTGGAAGCTCACATACTGTAAAATGCTTTTATTCTTGGCACCGGCGCTGGTACCAGGTGATACACGGGGAAGCTCGAGAAGGGAGCGGAGCCGGTTAACGAACACACAACCTATGTTCAGCGAGCTTCCTACCTTTCTCTCGTTTTTGATAGCGACATCGTCCCCATTCAGCGAGTCTTTTTTAAACATCAGCGCGACACCAGCTCCCGGTTTGTCGGCCCGTTCCCCGCGGGCTCACACCTGAATAGAGCAGCAGCGTGTTCCTCCCAGGATGAGCCGAGCCGCATTGTTTGTTTGCTTTCTCAGCGAAGGAGGCTCGGAGCTGTTGGATGGATCAGACCCGCTGTACCCTCCACCCCCCCCAACCTACCCCACCAGCCTGGCATCCAAACCCTCCAGAATCCTTCTCTTTATATATCTCCCTCACTCCTCTCAGCTTTCCCATCGCACCAACAATGAAAAAAACACCAAAAAGGCGCTGTGCTCTCTGGTGTTAACTCAGGCCTAGCAGTGTGGTTCACTGGGTTGTGATGTGGCCAACAACAGCTGAAGTCCGTGACCCCTGGACCCCATCCATCAGGCTTTCAGCACCAGCCCTGGCCTCTGACACACACAAAACTTCAGCCAGGGAATGGAAGCACGCAACTGGGAAATGCATCAATGTCAGCGAGACACTGGAACCATATAAAATTATATATATGCACTATGGCCAACACTTAACATGCATGCAGCACAAATGGGTCTGCATGCACCAGTGCAGTTGTGCATGTGAATATAAAGTTCTAAATGTTTCCAAAAGCAAGCAGGTTGCTAAACTGCGCTTCTTCCAGCCTGAGCTGTCCGTCACGCACACATATATTATATTCTAACACATACATGTCTCCCACACACACACCTGCTGTCAGCTCCGACACACACAAACCGTCTTTATAGACACACGGCACATCCTCTGCCCTCACACACATGTTAGCAATATGTGTGTGGCAGCGGCTCAGCTGACCGCCTGGCAGTCACTGTGAAATTGGCGCCCTTCTCATACAGATGCCAGGTGTTTTGCTTGGCAGTCAGGGCTGCTGGGGGTGAGCTTGTGTCAGGAGTGTTGGGTTGCTACGAACGGCAGGGAGAGGACGGGGGTAATATGTTACGTGTCCCCGTTAGCTCGGCCGCTCGGCTAAGATGGAGCCCTGCCAGGCCCAGGAGGAATTAGACACCGCTTGGTTTCTGTAGGAGCTTGAAAACAGTGTGTGTGATGTATAATGTTCACGACAAACCGGAGTGTATCTCAGGTGATTTCCCGAAACCTGAAGTTACGAGGCGTCATTATTCTTTAATTAACCATATTTTCCTGAATGATACATACGAATGTCAACCATAATACTCCAGACAAACTACTCCAGTCAATTTTGGCACTGAATAGCATTAATCTCCTGCACTAAGATGTGTGTTTTTTTCTTTTCTTATTGCTGTTGGAGTTTGATTTCGCCCCAGAACATGAGAAAAGCTGGAGAAGCTTAATGCAAAATGCTGAAGCTTTACATTGTTGTGCAAACATGCAAGAATCACTTCCTTAACTCTGGTTTGCAGCGATAGTCGGACTCCTGCAACATTTCACACCAGTGTAGTGGGTTGAGATTCATTCAGTCAAGAGGTTGAGGTTGGCGCTGGTTCCCAGTTTGGTTTTGTGTGTGTTTCAGATGACAAGCATTCAGTTCTTTGCAATATTAGATGTCAATACCTGTAAATTAAATATGAGGCTATCAATGCTAGTCAGTTAGCTTAGCTTAGCACAAAAACTGCAAAGAGGGAGAAACGGGTAACTCATGCACACCTGCAAGTGGTAACAAAAACTTGTACAACTCAGACGTTTATCCCGATGGTTATGATACACAGGGTGCATTATTTCCAGGCTTCCCAATAATTATCTCAGTAAGCTGCCGTTTAATGCATTCTGGTGTTGCCGTGTTGCATTCTGACAGATGTGCCATCGCTGGCCGTTCCCTATTTGCATAAAGTTGAGGTCGAAGTTACTTTATGCAAATTAGGAGCCTTCAGCGTGACTTGCTGCCTCCTGAGAAACTTTTAAGGAAACTGTTGTTGATCTAAACTGAAGACAGATTCAGCTGGCTGTTTTCTCGCCTCATCACTTTCATTAAATAAGTTTCATCAAGAGGCAGTTGGGAAGTATTGGTCCAATCGAAGCGTTTGCACAGCAGTAGGGGGGTGTCACTGGTGTGTTATTCCAATGTTAGCATTCCAGGGCTGGGAAGTGGTGCAACCCTCCACACGCAGAAATGCATTAGTGTTTACATCCGGGGCACAATAGGAACAAAATCTGAACTTTTTGATCGCAACTGCCTCTTCAGTAATCTCCATCTTTACCAAGACAGGATTTGAAGAGTTGTTTCCCTTCTATTCTGCACCGCATTATGCAGAACATAAAAACCATGTAAACAGGTTTGCGTTTGCACCCATAAGGCCGCCACGCCGACATCAAACCCCGCTCTCCT